TCCCCCCCAGGCAGTGCCCCTCTCCCAGCAATTTCACCCCCCAAGCACTGTCCCAGCACAGGGGCATGAGGTCCCCAGACCCAAGGCTGGCATCATCCAGCTTGCTGGGCCCTTCTGAGGCAGCAGGAGGTGGTGTGAGGCTGCTTGAGGCTGTACAAGGCCGTGCAGCATGGCATGGGCCTGTGCACTGCGGTCTGAGGCAGCATGAGGCCGTACAACATGGTACAAGGCTGTGCAATGTGGTATGAGTCCATGCAATGTGGTACAAGGCAGCATGTTGTGGTGCCAGGCATTGTAAGGCAGCACAACGCAGCACAAGAGCCCAATACGGCACGAGGCAGTATAATGCAGGACAAGGCAGTGTGAGGACGAAGTGGTGTAATGGGGACAAGGTGGTGCAATGCAAGACGAGGTGGTATGAGGCAGGGCAATGCAGGACGAGGCAGTGCAGTGCAGGACAAGGCAGTGCAATGGGGCACAAGGCAGCACAATGTGGTACAAGGCAGTGCGATGCAGGACAAGGCAATACAAGCAGTGCAATGTGGGATGAGGTGATGCAAGGTGGTGCAAAGAGGGACAAGGCAGGACAAGGTGGTGCAATGTAGCATGAGACAGTGCTAGGCCATGCAACGCAGTATGAGGTGGTGCAATGCAGTATGAGCCAGTATGAAACAGTGCAACACAGCATGAAGTGATGCAACACGGCATGAGGTGGCATGCCCCCCCCCCCCAGGGACCCCCAAACCCCAACCCCGGGGAACGCCCAAGAACCCCACGCGGGAGATCCCACGTGAGGAGCAGATCACACTGGAGCCGGAGCTAGAAGAGGCGCTGGCCAACGCCACCGAGGCTGAGATGTGCGACATTGCAGGTGGGCCTGGCACCATGCTGGTGTGACACACAGGGGCCATTTGGGACATGGGGGAGAGTGCATTGCATGTGGAGGGGGTGCACAGCTGCGTCTCACTAGGGCCATGCACATGTCCCTGGCTCTGCTGGGGCAGGCAGGCAGGCGTATG